AAATTGTCTCCCAATTTAAACTGATTCAATCAATGTATTTCAACACAATATTATGAACATTTGGGGAGTTGAATACTGATACCTCATCTGTACAGTACATAGAAGTGTTGGCATTTTCTGTGAAAATAAAATTCAAGTGAAAAAGAGAGAAGGAAGTCTCTCTAAGCTGGAGGTAATTATTTTAAATTAGCTAAGTAGATGGTAAATTGGTGAGAGAAATGCCCAAGAACTTTTCTTACATCAATTTTAGGGTTGGAAACATCTGTTTCTTGTAATTTTGCCTGAAATGTATTTGCAATTTAATCGCAAAATGTCCCTATGATGAGTCAATGTCCTCATGTCAGGACATTTTTGTGATTTTTTTATGTTAAAATAAATGTCCCTAGGTCAAATTGTCCACAGGTCAAGGCGTCAACATGTGGGGGTCTCACTGTACTTATTCCTGATTAGTCATTGACTATTGGAGTCACTTTCTTTTGCTAAGCATAAATGGATTACTTGTAAAGCTCTTCTCTTTCCGTGGCCCCCAGAAATATAGCCCTAAGGTTTTTTGGAAATTCAAGTTACACAGTTTTTTATTCTTTGAATCAGAGCAGTCTATATTACATAATTCTTGAGGAATTTCCAAAGAGGAATGGAGAGAAATGCAATATTGAGAGGTTTTTGTTTTCAGGGGGTTTGAGTTGGTGAGGTACAACTGCATTATATTTCTGTTATGTTTCCGCTATTGTATTTAAAATGTGTTATCTTAAAATACAGAACTTCCTGAGAAACCATTTTAGTCCTTTCCAAGAAACCCTTTTCTGAGAAAGAAGGAAATTGTCAGAGTGAGAAAGTCTCTGCAAGTATCCTTGATGAGAAGTCATTCTGGCTTTCAACAAAATTCCAGTAAACCTTTCAAAAGGCAATAGTTCCATTATCATTCTTGGTGTCCTGGTAGGCTCAAATCCACAGTATAAATGACATTTAGACTTTTTTACACCTCTGTTGTGACCAGTCATTGCTGCTGATGTGAGGCTGTCACTAATTGTGTTTCCCTCTGTTGAGCAATTAGATTCTGTGCATTCCATGGAACTGAGGTTTCCACTCAGTGGGGGGGTCAGGGATTGTTTCCCCCATTTCTCCCCTTCCTGGTGACCAGGTTGAAATACCTGAGCTTGGATGGAAATCCATCAGATCTCATCCAAGCTTCAGGGAGTAAACTCCATAGTATTGATACTGGTAAAGCTCATTCCCATTAAGACTTAAAGTTAAGATTGGACTTGTATGTTTGTGTACTTGTGTTGTATTGAATGTTTGGTTGGATGAGAGTATTGTGAATAAAAGTGTGTTAACCAGAAATAGGGACTGAGTTCCTTCATTTCTCAACTCACAGTCCTGTAAGAGAAAGGATAACAAATGATATTGGTCAAGTTTTCAAGTTGTTTTGGGTGTGATGGTCAGCATTAAAGCTGTCATGTTTCAGGATGAAGTATGCTGTTTTGTTAATTGTTACATTCCTCATTCCAATAAAGGATCCATTACCAGTGACACCTGCGCATAATTTATTAAACTAAGACTTAATTGCAGCAATCTGAGTGCAAGAATTGTAAAACTCAACTTGTGTTCAGAGGAGTTACTTATCTCAGTTGCCATTATTGTCATTTGGCTGCTAGAGAAATGNGCTGTTTGGAATGGCAGAATGAGTTCAGGATTAGTTGGTTAGCTCAGAAGGATTAGAAAAGTATTTAAGTTAAGGAAGTCTTTAATGCTAGATTCCCCCTATTCTCCTCTCAAAGAGGAATGAGTGTTTTTATGCCCACATGCTCAGTCTGGATCAGGAAGAACTGAAGAAATCATGTGATTTCTCTCTGGTGGCTCATGATTGGCCAATTCATGCCAAATCAAGGAAGTGATGACCACTTCTTGGCCTTGGATGAGGCTCTCTGATGAGTCTCACCAAAACAAGATTTTGGCAAGGCTCACTTGCCTTGAGAGAAATTGGGCTCCTCAGCTAGTTGAGGCTAGATGTTGTAGCAGCACTGTGTTTGAGATGCAACAACTGCTTCTTTGGTTCTTAACTTAATTTTAAACAAAAGCACAGACTTTTTCAATATTTGCCATAGAGCCTTTATACATATTTTTTTAGTCTGCAAAAATTTTATGAAACCAAGCTGGTCTGCAGGAAATTCTTCAGAAATTTGTATGCCAGAAACATTTTTTGGATATTTTCCAGTTCCTGGGCCTAAAAAGGTTGGTGAGTCACTTGTCTACACACTCTGGGGATCATTATCAAAGCATGGTCCCACATTTTATGCCCTCTTACTCCTGGTATAATGACTTCTTTGACATCTGAAAGAATGTCATCCCATTTTTCAGGTTTCTCTGGAGCTGATTCCGGAAGTAGTTTTCTGAGAAACCCCGGTTTCACTGCGGGATAAACCCTCTGGTCTCTGACGTTCTCCAAATAATCAGCCATAAAATCCACCAATTCCTTCCCTGTGATGAAAAATAAAACATGGTACATTGCCAAGTTCAGTTGTGAGGAAAAACCTTCATACCTTTTACTCTAAATTCTGCTGCATCCATTCTTGAATAAAAAACCTAATCTGGGTGAATAAGGTATAACTATAACTAAAACTCCTGCTTCATAAATAATAGTAATTAAGGAGGGATAAACTACTGCTGTGCCTTTTTTTTTTTTAATTCTTCCCTTTGTATAAAGCTCGATCTGCTCAGACCTTCAACATTAGCAAAAAATTGCCAATGTCCGGAAATATAAATAAACACAGACAATTAGAGGAGGATCAGAATAGCTTATATTCTTCGCATTACTTCCTGGTGATGCAGATGTGAAGACATTGCTTCAGGAAAGTCATACAATAATGATGCCCTTTGGGAAGTGGAATAAATACCTAAACAAGCAACAGCAAAAGCACTTTTTTTTTGCAACGTGCACGGCTTAATAGCATGATTCTTTTGGAAGCTAGTTTCAGCTGAAAGGAGATGAAACTATTGCTTGGGGTGTTCAAAAAGTTCCCTTCTTCTGGAAAGGCTCAAAAGGAAGTTCTTCTGAGGTCCAATAAATACTATTTTAGCAATGAGGTAAATTTGAATTAAAGTAACCAAAATTTAGGATAATTTGAGCGTATCATAAAAACATTTTTCAAGTCCATTCTTTTTTAAGTTTAAAGAATAAAAAAAAATTGTGAGGAGCACAATATTTTTTTTTGCTGATCAAAGAAACTTGGTGAACACCCCGATAGCATGTGGACTAAAATTCTGAAGAAGCAGAAAGGCTCAAAAAATTCGACATGTCATCATTCAAAAAAATCAATCGTCGATGAGTTGGTGTTGCTGACGCCTGGGTTTGACTTTGGGAGACCTGGGAGGAACAGGTGGGACCGGGTTGCTTTTGTTGGATGAGCAGGAATTGGCAGATTTTTGGCCATTCTCCCTTTGGTGCACACTGTCAGCAGATTTGCCTCCTGTGTTCAGCTTCTCCCATGGGTCTTCAATTTTCACTGTATCTCCCAATGAGAAGGATCTTCCTCTTGGCAACTTTGGCTCCACAGTTTCTTCTGTATAGAAAAGTGTTTAAAGTAGAGCAGTTCATTTTTGCTGATCTCGAAATTTGCACACTTCATGAATATGGCTTGATTAAAGTTGAAAATTGTGTTCAAACAAATGTAGCCTTTGTATGAGAGTAACAGGACTGAGAAAACACTTGTTACAACAGAGAAGTTTTTATGCCTATACCCTCAAATAGCACCAACCAGTAAAATATTTTTTTTTTCAAGCAAGAATTCGATTTACCATATTCACTTAAAAACCACTCAGGTCTTTTTTCACTAAGAGGAAAAAAGGAGGTGTATGAAAATTTTTCTTTCAGCTGCGGAAGTTTAGTTGTGCATCAAATTTGATTCTAGTGGGAAATTTTGGACCAAGTTCAACAGAAAAAAATAATCTTAATGGAAATAATTGAAAATCAGCTGAATTCAGGATCAATTTGTTCCTAAATTCAAATTTTGGTGCTCTTATTTTTGAAATATTGCAGCTTTAGAGTCATTAAAATGGGGTACATGGCTAACTTAGGAATGCAATTTTATAAAAAGTTTTGACTGAGGAATTCCACTTTCAAATTTGGATTTTCTTATTTAGCAAATATTGAAATTTTAGAGTCACTAAAATGGGGTGCGTATCTTACTTGCAAATACAATTTTATTGCAAGTTTTGACTGAAAGACCCTTGTTCAAGGATTTGTGGTACTCAAGGAAATACAGTAGAATCTTGATACAATAAATCTTGTTATAACTAATTATCATTAACAAGAAAGACCTTTCTTGAGATCCCTATCCAATAGACACAATACTTTTTTTTAATTTTGTTAAATTTGATTATTTGCTGTAAAAAGCTGCTTTTATATTGATTCTTTTTTTTACCTTCACTCCCTTCTGTTAAAGAATCTGAGATATCAGCCAAGAATTCCCTGGGCTCGGCATAAAACTCCACGTTTTCCTCCATTGGGGACTCCAAGGTAAGTGGAGACGGTTTAGGCTTGAAAAGTCTCCTAGATGGCGGTCCAATCGCTCTCCTGGGGGCAGCTGTTGGAGCGGAAGGATTGCTGTTGGCAACGCTGCTTGCATTGGCGGTCATTTCCTCTTCAGTGGGCAAATGATCGCTCACTGAGGACACCAAGTCCATCCGAGAATCCAACGAGTATTGCTTTCCTCCGACAACCATGCTTCTGATTCTCCTTTTCACGGCTTTCAAAAATAATTCCGAGTCAGAGATATAAAGAAATCTTGAATATTTCTTCAATTTTTGAACATTTGCATGGACAGTTTTTCCTGTGGTAAGAATACCATAGAATTTTTTTTCAACCACAATTGGACTCTCTCCAGGTGTAGTCCAAAAGCCCCCCCCCCCCCTGCCAAAAGCCCACCATAGGTCAAAAGCCCCCCAGAAAGCCCCCTTGCCTAAAGCCTCCCTGCCAAAAGCCCCCCTAGGTGCAAAAATTGGGGATTACAGGTATTCTTGTAACTCTTGATGGTAAGCTGCACCTTTCACCAGCAGGCCCAGCACAAGGCCAAGTATCAATATGTTGGTAAGTTGAGTATATGAAGGGATTCTTCACCTGCAATGGTCATCACTGATTTTTTGAATTTCAAGGCATCATCATTTGCTGACTTCTGCAAAATCTACAGTTCAGCTTGTTGATCCAATGGCAGGTGCACTTCAGATCATCAATAATCAGAAGGGTGGTCAAATTGCATACTACAATGGCTATTTAGAAGAAAATGACATGGAGAGCATCAGTGACAGTGAGGAAGAGGCAGCAGAAGGCAATTTTGAAGATGATTAAACAGTCCTTTTGAGGACTAATGAAACTAAATAGCCTTTTTCAGGGCCACCAAGCACTATTATGAAACTTGCATCCAATTATAAAAAAGTGGTGGGGGGCTTTTGGCAGGGGGGCTTTAGAAGCATTAATAGAATAATTAATAGAAGAAGAGTGCGTTTGAGTATAAATTTACTCATTCTATTTACAGTATATAGTTTCCTGAACATTGAAATTATTTGCACTGGAAATTTGGGAACACATTCCTGAAAACTTATATCCACTGCTGTCAACATTTTGATCCCATGAAATTTAGGGCTTTATCCACAACAAAATAGGTAGTTACTTTCAAAGTGATGAAAAGTATTTAGCACAGATTCAGCTCTTTGGGATTCATATTTTTCCGAATTTGCTCTTTGGTTTTTTTGAACACTTGAAGCAGCTGTGTTTTCTTGACATAAACATGAAGCAACATTTTTGAAGAAATTGCTGTCAAGTTATGATTTCAAACTGTTAGAATGGATAAAAGACAAGCTATATTATATACTTCACTTCAATCCAAAGGATGGGCAAAATCATCCATTTTTTTGACATACCAGGGCTGTCCCTGATGTTGAGCTTCATTTGCGACAGTTGTTTGGCAAATTCGAACAAAACGTCATTTGAGTCGAAAATGGCAGCGAAAGACCCATTGACGACTTTGGGAGACGACGGATTCTGGCCGACAATATTTGCCAACAGGAGGCTCGTGCCAAAATTCGCATTCTTCCTCCTCGTTTCTGCTCACAAACGCAAAAAAAAATCCTCGTGAAGGATTGAGCATAAATTTTTTTATGGATTTCGGAATATGATGATCAATTTACCTGCCAAAATGACGCGCTGTTTCTCAGTGCTAACTGTATTAACAGCTCTAAGGATTTCTTCGGCGTATGTTTGAATTATTCCCCAGTCTCTCGCAATATCTTCTTCTGTGGTCTGTGGTGAAGTGACAGTGAATCTGATGACATATTTTCCTTTGATTGAACAAGGAACGCAGTGAAGTTGACCGGAAGCGTTGACTCTTTTCAGGAGCATTTCAGTCAGCTCATTTTCACCCTGAGGAAGTCGATACCAGTCACAAAATTATTTCCGCTTTCAATAATTTATAAAATCTCTCTACAACACACCTTCATCAAACTTTTAAAAAATTATATGAAAAATGTGTCACCACATGATTGCCAAAATAGCTCAGCTTTTTTTCTGAATTTTTAAATATAAATTTCTGGTTCAATTTGTATGGCCACATCAAGAAGATTTTCTGGGAATTCAACAGTTTCATCCTCACAGATATTTGACATATGTCTGTTACCAAAGGAAACCAAATTATTATTGTGAATAATTATCTTCCTCATACGCCCTACATTTTTTTCAATTCTAGGCATTTCACACTGAAATTCAATGAAGAGACACTTTCTGAAATCTTAAAGGATCAAGATAAATTTTTGGCCCTATATGATTTCTCATCAAAGATTCTCTCTAAATTGTTCATTCAACTAAAACTCATACAGAAGCAGGCTGAAGACCTTGTGCTTTAAATAAACTTTTACTGCTACTTTGTCTTCAATATTGGGGGATGGGTGGGTGTATGCATACGTGTTGGATGTTTGGTTTTATTTTGTGGAGTGTGTTCTCTTTTGTTTTTGTCATTGGTTTGTGCTTCAATTTGTATGGCCACGTATCAAGACGTCTTTTCTTCTGCACTACTTTACAACGTGTTTTTGCTTAAAAAAAATCTACTTGCATCCTTCAAGAAGATTTTTGAGGTTGAAAGCATAAATTGTCTCTTCATTTCACATCCGTAAATTATGATGAATAGATGTGAATGGTCTCTGAACTTGTGTGAGACAGAAGAATATTTTTTGGATTTCACCTGATTATGTTGACATGGCATGGTCATTGCCTGGGAAAGGAAACAAACATTGCATCCTGTGTCCTAATATGCTCCAAAAACGGGAGAATTACGAGGCTTTGTGAATTAAATGACGCTGCTTGACAGCAACACGGTAAAACGCCTAAGCTTTGTTGTCCTTCCCATTAAAAAAAAACGTCGGGAACTATAGGTAGAAGCTATTTTCACCAGACAATCAAGCCTCCCTATGGGTGTCAAATGAGTAAAGAACCCTGCGAGTTTGTGCAACGGTGTTCTTGTTGCCAAGAATATATACAGCATAAAAAAAACGGTTGGTGGGAGGGAGCTGAAGAACTTCAGAAGCTGTCGTATCATGAAACCTCGACGTAAGTCGGGGGTTTTTTTAGTTGAAAAAAGGGTCGTAGTTTGAAACCGACGTAACATGGGCCCGTCGTAAGTCGGGGGCCCACTGTATATACAGGAAATTACCGGATTTTTATTCAGATTTTAAATTACAGGCCAGGATACCTTCATGTCATTAACCAATGTAAATGCTTTCAGTCTGATTTTGAATCGTTGCCTGTACGAACTTTTTCATGTCGTATTTTCCCGCTGCAAGTTTTTTTTCACCAGACAATCAAGCCTCCCTATGGGTGTCAAATGAGTAAAGAACCCTGCGAGTTTGTGCAACCGTGTTCTTGTTGCCAAGAATATATACAGTACAGCATTAAAAAAAAACGGTTGGTGGGAGGAACTGAAGAACTTCAGAAGCTGTCGTATCATGAAACCCCGACGTAAGTCGGGGGTTTTTTTAGTTGAAAAAAAGCGTCGTAGGTTGAAACTGACGTAACATGGGCCCGTCGTAAGTCGGGGGCCCACTGTACAGCTTATTTCTCAGTTTGCCATTCTGATGTGATGGAATGTGTTTGGGTGGATGTGGGTGGGGAGGGGGTTTGGATGCGGGAGTATTGGTTGTGCCTTGTGAATGCTGAAAAGCGGCAAATAAAGTGTTCTGTTCATTAATTCATTCAATTCTAGGCACAACCAGATCAGGCATAATTTATGCCTTCCCAATGCTTAGCAAGAAACAATTATTGCTGCATCAGGCCTTAAAGTGTGCAGAAATTGTCAAGGCATAGCAGAAGAAACTAGATATAACTACCTACACATTGCAAATGCGTGTTGCTTTGTTTAGCTATTATATCCAGGAATCCAGCCATGCCTGAGGCAAATTATTTGCTGGGCACTTAGGCTCCTTGAATGGATTTTATTTTAATTTATGAATATTTTTGATATTGCTGCAAGCTGTAACTATTGATTCAGTTTTCATCTCTTCTGAGGCACAAAGGGGAATTTGCATTAAAATCAGTTCATTATTTTGATTTCTATTTGAAATTCTTCATATAATCCACTGGATGCCTATTATTAAAATGAATACATGTCAAGGATTTTAATGGATGAAGTTATCTTATTGATGAGCAAAACCTAATCTGCAATCAACATGCCAAGCATAGCGATTATATTGTCATAAAAATAAAAAACGTCCTTCAGTTGAGACTGTCTAGAATTTAAGTACAGTACTCTTGAAAAGGTTTGAAGTGCGTTTTGAAGCATTTTCCAGGTTTCTTGTAATCCCCAGAATTTAATTTTACTGTCTGCTGAGAGTGCTAACTCATTTTCTTGGTACTTCAAAGCCGAAAAACCAGAGAATTTAATCAAACAGTACTAGATATAGCAAACGACAAAGGAAAAGTATTTTACAAAATCAAATAAAAATTAGAAACCTTTAGACGAAAAACGACGAGGCCTAGATGTCGCTGCGCAGGAATTTCAAATCGTAAATCCCGCTTCACGTGCTGTTCAAACCGAGCAGCTAAACTCACTCCCTGTGAAATGAAGAGACAATTTATGCTTTCAACCTCAAAAATCTTCTTGAAGGATGCAAGTAGATTTTTTTTAAGCAAAAACACGTTGTAAAGTAGTGCAGAAGAAAAGACGTCTTGATACGTCGTTTTAATTGTAGAATATGTAGATTATACCTGTTTAATCTGAATGAAATTCATTCAAATTTTTCCAGGTTCGAGAATAAACAAAATACAAGACTCACATGTCTTATGTGCGCTTGCAGTCCTTGAATTCCATAGTTTCGAATAACGAACCACAATTTCAGTGATCTGAACCTTCTGCTCAGTTGAATTTGCCAATGCTTCAAATATTGAAAACATAACATCATAATAGCCCAATGAAAATACCTCTAACGAAGTCGAAACTCACCATATAGTCGATTGCCAAACCTGCAAAGAAATGGCGATATTTTAAACTGATTTTTTTGCACAATTAGTAATGAAATAACAACATTTCGTTCTTCCGTACAGGAGATAAACCTTTTCGATTTTTCATTAGTCTATTCAATTAAAAATGTATGGCAGAATTATTCATGACTCAATGCACGTTTTATATTTATTTAAAAGTGAATCTGACCTGTGTTTTCGTGCTGCAAATAAAGTGGTTCGACGTTGAAGGTCCGATGAAGAGCTCCGCAGTTTTTCACCCTGTTTCACACATGTTCATATCAATCGAAACCCAAAGAAATCTTTGGAAATGTTCGTAGATTACCACATCGCTGTGCAGTCGAAGGTGACTAGAAGGTTCTTCGATGGGTTGAAAGCAAAAGAATTGGCGTGCTGAATTCCATCGCAAAAACCTCGGAATTCCGGACAAATGAACGAAGCTCCGGCGTAGGCTGCGTCCACGTGCAGCCAAATCGATTCCTTCTCGCCTTCATTTCACGCATTATAAAAATTAATTTCGAGACAAAATCAACGATTTCTTCAGAGAAACATGAATCCATGGATAATTAGGATAATTAGAGTTTCGTTTTGTCTTACAGATCGGCCCGATTTCCTTCAAGTTGTCGAATGCACAGTTTGAAGGAAAATCAAGTATTTTTGATCAAATGATTTAAAATGAAATAAACTATTCAATAAACCGCCAACCCCTTTAAACCACCAGAATTGCTCTGGACAAATGGTGGCATCTTATTGGGGTTTGACTGTACTGTATATAAACTTGAGATTATTTTTCTTTGACACAACTATCAGTCCAAGTACATTTTACTCAATTAAGCGATACAGGGGGAATCTTTCTGCAAAAACAACTCATAAGACCAGAGAATAATTTGTTAGAGTATTTTGTTGTAGAGAACCCCTATATAGCAAATGTAAAGAGAAGAGAGTCCTATTAGACCACTAAAAAATGTGTTCTAGGCAGAAAAAGCCTTTTAGACCAGATCCATGAAGAGAAAATCCATCTAAGTTTATTCTCCAATGATCAATCTACACAATTTTCACCTTAAAATTAATATTCTCCCTTCTCATGTATAAAAGCTCTGGTGGAAAAAGACTCACCTCTTATCCGGAATTCGTTGAAATCCATGGTCATTTCAGAAACAAACGGAAAAATAACTAACTGAAGCTGTTTCTTTGAAAATCCTGATGACTGTGAAAGGAAGAAGACAAAAATAAGTTGAGAAAAAACGGCGATTATTTCAAGTATTTTTCCTTCTTATCCCCAGAATCCCCTGGTTGCTCGTTTCGAGGGATCATCCGCCTGCGCTTATGGCAGTTAGTTACCCCCCGGGGGAGGAGGTGACGACTCTTAATCCCTCCAAGAAGCAAAGATCAACAAAGGGATATATAGAAAACCTGTTTGCTTCCATCTTGTTGTAAAGAAAAATAAAAAAAGTGTTTGTAGACGAATGCCATCAAGTTATCCTTTTTCTTTATCCTTGTTGATGGTTTCCATCAGTTGATCCCCTCTCATGCTTAAATTTTCATCGGATTCAACCAGTCTGAGTTTGACAAGTGACATGAGCGACGCTTTTTCCACAGAAGAATGGGCCTATTAATTTATAACAAAGGAGTCAGTCTTATCTTCATCTTTTAGAATTCTCAGCAGCTCAGTTTCCATGCAGAGAAAATATCTGGTAAAATTATAAATAAATCGAAAGGTGCAATGGAATTGATATTCAAAATGTTCCGTTGGTAATCATTTGTTACCTTACGTACAGGATCACGTAAATATTAAGAAGCACGGGAATTCTTGTTTTCAGCTTCTGATTGAGAACTAAACGAGGAATTGACATATTTTAACGACAAAGTAAGGTGACATAACCTGATCTGAACAATAAGCAACGAGTCTGGAATTGATTTCCGACTCTTCCAGCGACGGAAACGTCATTTTGAACTTCCTCACGGCTTCTTTCCGCGCTGCGAGAATCGTCACGAATGTAGCCTCACTCATCGTTGTCTGCAATACCATTTCAGGAATAAAAAATAAATAAGAGAACTGTGCAGCTGATTTCAAACCCCATTGCTAAATCGTCCATAATTTTTTCTTCTTTTGAATGCTAAACCTGAATGACGCCGCCGCCCAAACTGGTCGCCTTCGTGTGCAGAAAATCTTCCGGCAAGTTCAGCATTTTTCCGAGCCAGTCCATCACGAGTGTCTCTAATTCTGTGCAAGCCGGACTCGCAGCCTTTTTTTTTCAAAATTTCCAAAAATATATCAACGAATTATTCAATTCACGGATTGAATAAAATAATTCTTACCCAAGTGAATCCGATGCAGTTGAATCCCCCCGACAACATGTCTCCGAGAATCGATGCCGGAGAATTCAACGCCGGAAAGTAACCGTGCATGTGTGGACTTTGCCAGTGAGTCAACTGAAAATTTTCAAGTTATACATTTATTTTACGTCCAAGCGATCTATTCGTGTGAGAGATGAATCATTTTTACCTCAGTTAAAAATTTGAATCAATTCGGAGGCGAGGATAAAAAATGCTTTCATTTTTTGAACATACCCCTGGAACGATGAAATTTTCAACGTCATCGAATATTTGTGTCCAAGGCTCAGCTTCTTGTGGTGCACAATCAGGAACTAGATTTCTCAGATATCCAGGTTTGACATCAGGAAAAACTCGTTTTTCTCTGATGTTTTCCAAGTAATCAGCTATGTAGTCCACCATTTCCTTCCCTGGGAATTTTCAAGTACGATTCATTTTTTTAAATGCACACAATAATTAGAGTTCAAATAATTTCTAAATGATACGCGTCCTTTATCGTTCGCAGGTGGAGCTAATCTGCAATTGAGAAGATTTTAAAATATTTCCAGGTATGCTCAATCAGGTGAAGTGTAGCATTTAAGTTGAACTATGATTTTTTTCCTTTGCTTGTTAGTACAGTCAAACCCAGTTAAGAAGCCCCCCAATAAAGCGCCACCCTCAGCAACTGCCAACATTTTGAATGAAACAAATCTCCTAAATACTAAATGCCATAGACATAGAAAACCTCAATAAGACACCACCCTCCAGCATTAGTGATTTAACAAAAGTGCTGTTTTCTATTAGTTTTGTCTTTGTTACAATGCCAACATTGGGGTACAATTATATTTTCTGTCCAGGATCTTGTATTGGTAAGAAGAAAACAAAATGAAAATCTTCATTTTTCAAAAACTTTGACCAATATATAGACCTAATTTTAAAATTTGAATAAATTGATGCAGAAAAATTAATTTTCTGAAAAGGTGTAATGCATAAATCACAGCAATACTCTTAGGAAAATTACTGAATTTTCTGGAAAACTTATATTTCTATTACTTTTGAAGGAAAATCAAGTATTTTTGATCAAATGATTTAAAATGAAATAAACTATTCAATAAACCGCCAACCCCTTTAAACCACCAGAATTGCTCTGGACAAATGGTGGCATCTTATTGGGGTTTGACTCTATATAAACTTGAGATTATTTTTCTTTGACACAACTATCAGTCTAAGATGCACATTTTACTCAATTAAGCGATACTGGGGGAATCTTTCTGCAAAAACAACTCATAAGACCAGAGAATAATTTGTTAGAGTATTTTGTTGTAGAGAACCCCTATATATAGCAAATGTAAAGTGAAGAGAGTCCTATTAGACCACTAAAAAATGTGTTCTAGGCAGAAAAAGCCTTTTAGACCAGATCCATGAAGAGAAAATCCATCTAAATTTATTCTCCAATGATCAATCTACACAATTTACACCTTAAAAATAATATTCTCCCTTCTCATTTATACAAGCTCTTTTGGAAAAAGACTCACCTCTTATCCGGAATTCGTTGAAATCCATGGTCATTTCAGAAACAAATGGAAAAATAACTAACTGAAGCTGTTTCTTTGAAAATCCTGATGACTGTGAAAGGAAGAAGAAAAAAATAAGTTGAGAAAAAACGGCGATTATTTCAAGTATTTTTCCTTCTTATCTCCAGAATCCCCTGGTTGCTCGTTTCGAGGGATCATCCGCCTGCGCTTATGGCAGTTAGTTACCCCCCCGGGGTAGGAGGTGACGACTCTTAATCCCTCCAAGAAGCAAAGATCAACAAAGGGATATATAGAAAACCTGTTTGCTTCCATCTTGTTGTAAAGAAAAATAAAAAAAGTGTTTGTAGACGAATGCCATCAAGTGGAAGAAACGATTATCGCAGGGGATATAGATAGTGAATGGAATTTTCGATTGCTTCCCTGGGTGGGAAGTTGGGAAATGTACCATTAATATGTGAGTGCTGCTCCTTTGGGATGAGATCTGGAGTGTTGTCCACACACAGGACACAGAAGATGACCAGCATCCTTGGTAGACTTTCTCTTATAGTAGATCTGCTAGTTTAAAGGGAAAAAAGTAGGGTCCTGACATCTGTCACCATTTTTATTGGAGTTAAACCTGTATCTAAATTTGATTTCAAAGGAAAAGCCAAAAAAATTGACTGAGGAAGGTTTTGAGTTAAGGAAATGAGCATTTTTTGTTGTGGGAAACATAAAAATGGTAGAAAATTGAAAATGGTGGTATTCTGGACCTTAAATTGCTACTTGAATTACTTGACAAGATGCTGAAATTGAAGGTTCATTTGCCCAATTAGTCTTTCCCTTTCCTTTCAAAACACATACAGTTATTTTTTGTTCGTTTTTTAGAAGAAAAGTCTTTGAGTAAGATAGGTTTTTGATGCACTGTTTCAGACATAATTCAGATGAGGACTTTGAAAAATTGACTTAGGGAGGTTTGAGTCATTGAAGTTCAAGTGTATAACCATTCAATTCAATAAATTGGTGCTGCATGGAGCCACAGCATAAACTTGATTGAAATTTCCTATTAGCTCTGCAACTGCTCAGGGAAGTAAAAGGAAAATACAGTCAACCCCCATCTAACGGACTTGATTTGTGCAAGGGATGAGTCTGTTAGACAAAAAGTCCTTTACACGAATTCAATTACATAAAAAATAAAAATTTTCAATTTTCAACTCTAATTTTAAACCAAAAGAAGTCTGTTTGGCGGATTTTGTCTGTTGGGCAGATTTTGTCTGTTGTAAAGGACTTTTCGTCCAACAGACTCATCCCTTGCACGAATCAAGTCCATTAGATGGGGGTTGACTGTATTTTCCTTTTACTTCCCTGAGCAGTTGCAGAGCTGGTCTGTTTGGCAAAAATGCCTTACACGGGAGGTCTGTTAGGCGGGGGGCCACTGTATACTATTTTGGTTTGCATGAAAGAAGCATAAGCTAAAATATAATTTATTAATTTTTTCAACATGAAGAATGATTACTACATTAACTCAAGTGTCATGCATACTTGACTAAGATGCCCATACCCTAACTTTTTTTCAAGAGAATTCTTGTAAAGATTCATTTCTGTTAGTTAAAAAAATGAAGCCTATATTCTGATTCAAAATTAAATTAAATCAAAAACTTTAAAAAACTTAAATTTGAATTTCCTTTTGAAATGAAAGGTTGAGACGACTCATTTTTAGCTGAGTGTTTCAATTTTGAAATGAAAAAGATTTAAACTTGATTTATTTGAATTTGAAATTATATTTTCATGAATATTTTGGTTTCTCAACTACGCTCTACCTGTTTGGTAATTATTTGTTGTCAAAAGTAACGAAATGTACAGTAATGGAATATAATTAATTATGCAGTAACCACAACTATAATCCATGAAAATGTTCTGATCAAAAATGTTCAATTCGAAAGCATAAAATACAAATAAAAAAAACAGTTAAAACAGAAAAAAAACTGACATCATTTAGGCAAAGTGAGCAATATTCATTGCAAAAAAAAAGGACTGCTGTCATTATTATTCCTCTCAATTTCCTCAAGTAAACTTCAGCAGTTCAAATTCATGAGCGTAAAATTTTATTTCGCGATCGCAATTTTCCCTCACGTTATAAACACGAGCCAATTCTTGTACCAACTGAATTTTACAGGAACATTTACGCGTGATTTTCAACTCATGACTGTTTAAAGACTTCAAATTCAGTCACACACAAAAAGTTGACTCCCGCCCTCTTTCTTAATTCGGTGAATTGTCGTCTCCGCTTTTTCTCAGTTCGCACAGCAGAGAAAGACTCACCGCTGGAAAATAATCGTTTTCAATTGTAAGATTTTGGAGAAAATTGCACTATTTTTGTTGATGAAATGGAAGGAAATTTCACGACACAAACGAGACCTTTTCCAAGCTGACGATGAGTAGGAACTTGCTGCAGGAATAAAGCAGAGAAGCTTTCGCCTGACCAACTGTTTTTCGGCGCAGGTCAAATGCGGAATTGCGCGCCAGGATCACCGATTTGGTCACAGGGGGGAAAAAGGGTCATTTAAAATTTCAAAATTCGCAAAATTTCATCGAGATTCACTTGTTTGTTTTTTTTCATGCATTTCATAAAAGATTAATGCTTGATTCATCCCTGTTCAAACTCGAAGGCTTCGAGAAAGAGAAAAAGAATGTGTCACTAATTTTGAGACGGAGTTTAGCCCATGTCGAGTATTATCATTTGAAAAATTAAAAGCAAATTTAAACGTACTTTTGTGTTGTGCAAAATATTTCCGACCTGAAAAAAGCCTGATGGAGATTCTATACAGACAATGTATGCCAACAAAGGTTTTTCAAAAATGGCTGTATCGCGTTGGCAAAATTTATTTTTCCCAAGACCCAAATTGAATTTTCTGAAGGAACTTCGGGTAAAACCCGATGTTCATGCACGTGTTAAGATTGAATGTGCTTACGTATGCCGTACAAGTGTGATTTTTTTTTTTGCGCCAGCACGGATTGCAAAATCGGAAGTGATGTCGCGCCAAAAATATTTTGAGCTGGTTTATTGAAACATTTGTGCTGATTTGGAGCACTCCGAAGATTTTGCAAATATTTATTGAGATATTGAAATACTTGAAATAATTATTTTCTTTTTAAAAATTGGTAAAATGCTGTCATCGTGTTTTTTACGGATGAATCCGATTAAATTCAGCTTATACAGTATTTGAGAATTGGCAACGATTTTTATGCACGTAAATACTTCGATTTAATTGTTTTTGAATTAAACATCTATTTTTTTACTGATAGGGAACATTTTTTCTCACTCCGTAGATTCATTTCGGGGGATTTTACTAATTCAAATTATTTATATACAATACTGGAATAGGTCATGTGATTAATTCACTTTTTCCCAAAAATTTTATTGGAAAGTGGATGTGACCAGTCAAAATTCTTTTCGATTGTCTGCAATCAATTGAGTTTCCACTCTAAAAGGGAGGAAATAAAATTTACAATTTTTTAGAATAGCTTTCGTTCGTTTTTTTTTTTGGTAAACAGCAGTACTAGAAACTTTAAACCCTTAATTATTTTTTCGGTCACAAAGAAAAAAAAAGCGAGACACTGGGTTAGGCTAAAATTCGATACTGCTGAGTATGTTCGAGAGATACTCGTATTTTCTAAAGAATCGTATTTATCATAAAACTACAATATTTTTCAAATTGTTTGCAAACTTGGTGATGTTTTTCATTTGTTTTTTTTTTTACGACTTTCACGACCGAAACCTAGCCCTTTTTTAAAACGGATGATGTTAGCCTAGTGTTTGCTTCTTATCCTCTCAGCGCAGCTTCGATAGAAAAAGTTCCCCATAAAATCCAGAAAGTAAATCTTACACTGTGAAATGTCATCCCGGTTTAGACAAGAACGGAAGACGGATGTACTCAGGATCGGGAAAGGCAGGAACAATCGATGCACAACAAGATTAGAAGACTTACAAATGCCAGTTTGCCAAAGGCACATGTATTTGGGGGAAGGAGGAAAGGTACAAGGGATGCAATATACAACATTCAGACAGACATTCTCCACCCTCTCTCTGGTAAACCCCCCAAAATAGCCACATTTATTTACTGCTGGCACAGTTTTGAATATAATGTAGGTTACTGCCGCATGAAAATGCAGCCAATTTATTGCACATTTTAATTTCATCTTTGAGAAATGGGTTTCCGTTTTTTGTGCCTGGAGAAGTGAAAAAGATGGGAATAGATTATTTTGATATGCTTATAAAGCTTTATCTTTGTTCATAAGAAAATTTTCAAATGCTCTATGTGTACAGTATTTTACTTTACAAGGATATGAGTAAGCAGTAAAGTAGTTTTGCAAAATTTGAATGCTAGGAATAGGAACCAAAAATTGACTTGTGTTCATGTTCTCTTAGAATATATGTACAGCAATGTATATGTATATGCAATATCTGTGTACTTGATGAAATTCATTTAGAAATATATTTTTCTTTAACTAATTAAGCATAGGAGACCCTGAGATGCACATATAATTGGGATATCAAAAGTGTCCCAAAAAAGTCCTTAAGGTGAGTGTTGTTTTTTTCTTAGACTTGCAGCATATAATTTTAATTGGTATTTTCTGAAAGGAATATTCATCAGAATTCTGTGAAAAACTAGACAAAATGTTTCAATCAATATTTTTCAACTCAAGGAGGACAGTTGGAGCATTTATTACTGTACCCCTGCACGTACAGTACATTGAAATGTTGGCATTCTCTGAAAAAATAAAAATAAAGTCAAAAATAGAGAATGAAGTCCCTCTATGCTGGAGGTAATGTGCTTTAATTAGCTAAATGGATGGTAAAATGATTAGAGAAATGCTGCTGAAGAACTTTTCTTTATCAACACTATCTTAGTGTTGGGAATATTGGTTTCTTGTAATTTGGCCTGAAACTCATTTACAATTTTAGCACTCAATGTCTGCATGTTGAGTCAGTGTCCACATGTTGGGCCTTTTTTATAGGAAAATAAGTGTCTGTATGTTGAATTGTCCACATGTCAAGGTGTCTGGATGTGGTGGTCTTATTACAGTGCATCTACTTTTCTGACTCTATTTTTCCCTTGAGCTCAAGTAGAAGTTTCTGCTTCACCTTGAAAAAAATATATCTTTGCTTCTTTGAAGGGGAAAATTTATAATATGCTCACCCTAATTCACCTTGATTTTAATTTGAAATTTTAAATCCGTAAGACTACTACATATAAAACTGAGATTATAAATTAAAGTACAGCGAGGCGTTGAAAATTGAGGCATAAACAAAGTTGAGCTGAAAAAGTACCGCAATGTGCAAGAGGCTCATGTAGGGGCCTTTTCAGCCGAAGTTGAACTGCTGAAAAATGCTGCACGGATCAAGATGAGACATCTATACAAAGCTGCGGCAAACTTCTGATTTATTTCTCACAGCTTACTGGTAGATGTTCAACACGTTACTACATCTGAACCCAGCGGGAAAGTTCACATTTTCTCTAATAATGTCAACATGTAATTGCGTGCCTAGAACGAGATACAGTAATCCAAAAATTCAACATAAGATTCAATTTTGAAGAAAGAATAAACTGAGAAGTTATTTTCAAAATGCATTTTATTGCCGAACGCGTCTCATACATATTTTTGAGTACACAGCATGCAGAATAAATTTTAATTCGAATTATTCCCAAAAACTCGCCGAGAAGATTTCTAGTAAATCTTTTCCTCTTTTGTTTTCAGTGCGAAAAACTTGTAACTTTTAGAAACTTTGGTGTCTTTCGGTTTGCAAACAGCAATTGGCGAAAAGGAGATTTCTTGCTGGTTCTTCTTGTGGGCGAAGGCTTGAATTATTTTCCAGTCCCTCAAAATGTCTTCTTCGGTAGTCTGTGGAGAAGTCACGGCAAATCTAATGGCGTATTTGCCTTTGATCAAACAAGGAACGCAATGAAGTTGACCGGAATCGTTGATTGTTTTCAGGAGTTGTTCAGTAATTTCATTGTTGCCCTGATGACGAGAAATCGATTCGAGGGTGAGAATTCAAGAGGTTCAAGTGGAATATGAAGCCATTAAAGCGAGAAGGGGGAATTTGAATCAATTATGTTAGTTAGAAACCATCGCCAGGCAGAAAAGCACTCCCTATTTTATTCATTTCCGTACTGTATATTTTCATAAATGCATTCAGCCAATATTTTCAGAAACTACTCAGATTATGTAAGAGTTAATTGTTGCACTTTCAAACTGTTGGGCATTTTCTACTGACGTATTTTCTTCACAGGAAGTTTCTTTCAATTATGTTTGTTTTTCCAAGATGCGCCAGCTTTTATTATTATTTTTTAATTAACTTGACTGGTGAAATATCTTTGTATTTTTCTTCTGTAATATGCAGTAGATTTCCGTTTCAACGAAGCATTTTCGACCTTAAAATAGCATTGTTATGAAGAAAAATTCGTTCAAACGAACTTAAAATAACAATTTTTTTTTCTGATTTACGCAGAGACCAAAGAAATGTATTTCGTTGTAAGCGTTATTTCGTCCTAACGATATTCTTCGTGACGACATTAAACTGCATAATCATGCAGTACGTCTTTATTGTCTCTTTTACCGTATCTTTAATCTTGCAAAAGCGACGTTAGGTAAAAAAAAATTCGCGATTTTGTAATTGCAATTGAAAATTTAATTACTGCATGGCAATAGGAAAAAATGAGATTCAAGTGTTCTGAACGGGAGCAGCTTCTGTGTACAATGTCAGAATGCGACCGGGTATCGGAAAAACCTTTTTTTTTAGTTTCGGAAATTTACAGTAATTATAAATGGCTTTCTCATTAATACTAGGAAATATTCAAATACCTTGAGTCGAAAAACGACGAGGTCTAGATGTCGCTGCGCAGGAATTTCAAATCGGCAATCTCGTCTCACGTGCTCCTCAAACTGAGCAGCTAATTTCACACCCTAAAATTGTATATAGCAGGCACATAAACAAAGCAAAAAAGACTTTTCATGAAAAATAATGTCCACGATAATGATGCTAATGTGATTTAAAAAGCCAGGAAATTGTCAGCATATCAGCAGTGGTAATTTTACGCCATTTGTTCTTCCGCGTTTAATCGCCGACTTCGAAGCCTTACAACAAATTTATTTACTGTAACATATACTGTATGACAAACGCCATTTTTTTCTTATACTGAACAGCTTATAAACGGGATGGATTGAACATGAAAAAAATGCATTTCGGCGTTCAAAACCATGAAATGAAATTTGAGAAAACGTACGTGTCTTATGTGCTTTTGCAGTCCTCCTATTCCATAATTGCGGATCACGAACCACAATTTCAGCGATCTGAATCTCCGGCTCATCTGCATTTGCCAATGCTTTAAAAAATTGTACATCAAACTTAACGTTTAAATGTTTTCCAAAGCTTACTCATATCCTTCGTGAGCGTGGTATATCAGCTAAGGAACTGGACGCTTTTGTTCGTCTTCTTTTTATTATTTTACGATCATTCCACCCATCTATATGGACTTTCTTAAAAATGAAATTGAGTAATGTATTGAATCAATTTATGGCAAAAATGCGTATTGTCGAAAAATTGATCTTGCCTGCATTCTTGTGGTCCGATGATAGTTGCTTGACGTTGAATGTCCGATGAAGAGCTCCGCAGTTTTTCACCCTTTTTCACACATGTTTATATCAATCGAAACACAAAGAAATCTCCGGAAATGTTCGTAGATTACCACATCGCTGTGCAGTCGAAGGTGACTAGAAGGTTCTTTGATGGGTTGAAAGCAAAAGAATTGGCGTGCTGAATTCCATCGCAAAAACCTCGGAATTCCGGACAAATGAACGAAGCTCCGGCGTAGGCTGCGTCCACGTGCAGCCAAATCGATTCCTTCTCGCCTTTGTTTCACGCATTATAAAAATTAATTTCGACACTAAATCAACGATTTCTTCAGAAAAACATGAATCCATGGATAATTAGGATAATTAGAGTTTCGTTTTGTCTTACAGATCGGCCCGATTTCCTTCAAGTTGTCGAATGCACAGGCTCCTGTTGTCCCCAAAGTAGCGCAAACCTGTTCAAAAGTAACATCAATTTTCAGTGTGAACATTTTTTTTCAAGTTTCAGAAATAATGCAAGGTACTCACGTAGAATGGAATTAATCCTTTTTCTTTATCCTTGTTGATGGTTTCCATCAGTTGATCCCCTCTCATGCTTAAATTTTCATCGGATTCAACCAGTCTGAGTTTGACAAGTGACATAAGCGACGCTTTTTCCACAGAAGAATGTATCCTTTTTCTTTATCCTTGTTGATGGTTTCCATCAGTTGATCCCCTCTCATGCTTAAATTTTCATCGGATTCAACCAGTCTGAGTTTGACAAGTGACATAAGCGACGCTTTTTCCACTGAAGAATGTGCCTATTAATTTATAATAAAGGAGTCAGTCGTATCTTCATCTTGTAGAATTCTCAGCAGCTCAGTTTCCATGCAGAGAAAATATCTCGTAAAATTATAAATAAATCGAAAGGTGCAATTGAAATGATATTCAAAATATTTCGTCGGTTATCTTCTGTTACCTCGCAGGATTACGTCAATATTAAGAAGCTCGGGAATTCTTGTTTACAGCTTCTGATTGAGAACTAAACGAGGAATTGAATTTTTTTTAGCAACCAGTCTGAGCTTGACATGTGACATGAGCAATTCCTTTTCCACTGACGAGTGTGCCTGCAAATATTTTGAAATTTACATCAATTTTTCAAGAGCCCGATTTCCCACAAAATAAAAAATTTAGGCATTCAGCCTTTTGAGGCCAAGAACACATACTCAAAAGGTCACCTTGAATATATGTTTATAGTTTTGAAATAATGTTTATTCATTTTTCAGCAAAGTCAAAGGATTTGAAAAATTCAATAAAGCAAACACAATTAATTCACAAAATAGATTTAAATCACAAGATCATAGTACAGTACATTGCAAAACTTAATTAATTCAGCGGGTCCTTGTAACTTGCTTCTGTTTGATTTTTGACTTTGAACTAAAATTATTGTAATTGAAGAGTGGAAGGAAGATGACAAATTTAAAACTATCTAACCTGATCAGAACAATAAGCAACGAGTCTGGAATTGATTTCCGACTCTTCCAGCGACGGGAACTTATTTTGCAATTTCCTGGTTGCCTCTTTTCGCGCAGCGAGAATCGTCACAAACGTGGCCTCACTCATTGTTGTCTAGAATCCGAAATCAAGGAAAAATATATTATAATTTCAGCTGATGTCAAGTAAATTTTAAATAAATAATTTTGTTTCTCGTGAATGTTGAAATACCTGAATGACTCCACCGCCCAAACTCGTCGCCTCATTATTCGTGTGCAGAAACTCTTTCGGCAAATTCAGCATTTTTCCGAGCCAATTCATCACGACGGTCTCCAATTCTGTGCAAGCTGGACTCGCAGCCTTTTTTATTCAGTATTTCCAAAAATATTTCATCAAATTATTCAATTCTCAGATTGAATGAAATATATCTCACCCAAGTGAATCCGAGGCAATTGAATCCACCTGACAACATGTCACCGAGAATCGATGCCGGAGAATTCAGTGCCGAAAAATAGCCATGCATGTGTGGGCTTTGCCAGTGAGTCAACTGAAAATTTGCAAGGTTTAAAATTCCTTCACGTCCAAGCGATCTATTCGTGTTTAAGAGACGAATAATTTTTACTTCAGTTACAAACTTAAATCAATTCGGAGGTGAGGATAAAGAATGCTTTCATTTTTTGAACATACCCCTGGAACGATGAAATTTTCAACGTCATCGAATATTTTCGCCCAAGGCTCAGCTTCTTGTGGTGCACAATCAGGAATTAGATTTCTCAGATATCCAGGTTTGACATCAGGAAAAACTCGTTTTTCTCGGATGTTTTCCAAGTAGTCAGCTATAAAGTCCACCATTTCTTTCCCTGCGAATTATGGGAACTAACGTAATTTTTTTCTGAACATCTCGTTTTTCAGAAAGCCTGTGATGTTTCAAGTGCCAAGATTTTTACTTGCTTCCAACTGGGTGAAAATTGAATTCATTTTATTCTTATATCCATTTTTAAAGGCTGCATTTCCCCTCTAACGTCATGAAGGCCTTTTTTTCCCAAAATTTGCGATTGAATTTTTTTTTCAAGCAGAGTTCTTTGTTAATTGTTAGCTCATCGTGGTTGTTCTTCTCAAGCAAATTTGATTCATTTAACATAATCAGACTGACGTGGGATCTCAACTTTTCAATGACCAATCGTAATTCAACTATTTTGCATAACCCATGCGTTATATAAAAAAAGTAGCGTAGTACAATATAACTCTAATTTCAACAATATTGCCGTTTTGTGCGTGATACTTCTGGAAAAATATACATAAAGTCATTGTCCAACTTATCCAGACTCACCTTTGATCCGAAATTCGTTGAAATCCATGGTCATTCGAAAAATAAATCGCAGTGGAAATCTCTTGAATTCTCTATATGGAAAAGAGGACATTATTGAATTTATTATGTTATTTTCATATTCTCGTGAATTTCTAATGTTGATCATGTCGTGGATTATATTATTTTTTTTCCATAGAAGCATCATTGTCCAGAAATAACTTCATCACACTATTAAAACAAGGGTTTTGATAAATTTTCATTAAATTTTAGTTTGTACATGCTGCTTGAGATGCTTCACAAACTTTTCTTCGAGGCTTTTTTTTCAACCTGCGAACAAAAATGAATTTTTCGAGACTCAACCGCGCTTGAAACGTTTTTTTTAAATTGCACAAGCAAATCTTCAAATAATTATGCCTAGAAAATTGTTGGGATAAATTTTCGAGTTACATCATTCCCGAATCACCTTATTGAACATCTTGCACAATATTGAAGTATAATCTATGAGAATGTGTATATGAGAAGTATTTTTCCGCGGCGCAGGCAATGTTTATATATGCAAAGTGGACGCGCAGAAAATTTGCAGCAGATTTGAATTAGAATGGCATTTTCCTGATGAGCTGTTGCATTTCTCGACGTCGATTAGTTCCGATTAAGTGCACGTGTCGTGCGCAATTGCTGTTCATTTCGCGTGCAGAGAAAAAAAAGGGGCCGACAAAAAGTTTAGAATCTGTTTTTTGTGTCAGTTGGTCTAGTGACTTGAATTTTATGACATTAATTTGCAATCAATGCAGCATTTTGGGATCGGGGATGTGAAGCTTGCTTTCAGTAAGAAAAAACAGTTAGGATTTATGACGTTTCAAATCTTTCAAATGTGTTTGCTGTATTTTACTTGTAAAATAGATTTTTTTCACCAGCGAAGCACAAATTTTTAACGAGTTCCTACAATCAATGGACGAACTTTTCTAAAAATTGGGAAATTCTCCTGAGCATTTACAATTACCGATATAGACAAACTAGACATCATCTGATGTATCGTTTTTAGTCCGGCAAATTTTTCGAAAAATGTTTCATGATTTTCAAAATGAATTCTCGCGTTTCATTCAATCAACTTTGGGGACAAGCCACATTTTATGCACGCGTGAAGATTGAATGTGCTTACGTATGCCGTAAAACTCGAAGCATTTCCAGTCAGCAAGAATATTGGCAAAGTGTTGTGGAACAAAGAAAATAGCTTTATTAAATTCACAAAGGGTCGAAGATTGAAAATTCGAAAGTATTGAAATTAATTTAGTTATTCTGTCTCAGTTTCCAGCTTTTTTTCGTTTTTCGCTGCTTGAAGTTGTCAACGTCGTTTTTAAAACTTCGGTAGTGACATCTACACAAAACTTTAATAATTGTTGGTTTGCGTTCTATAAACAGATGTCAGCATTCTGCAGGTTTCCCAAGAAACTCGAACCCTTCGACAGAAGATACCATCTTACCAAACATGAATGTGGATGTACGAAAAAAAGGCGAAGATCCTCTGAAAAGTGGAAACTTGAAAAAAAGTTTCAGATAACATGTTCATTTTTGTAAGGTTTGAACACTTTTACTTGCATTGCTCTTCTATTTCCTTTCTCCACAAAATAATAGCGCAAATTTATAAAGAAATTTTCATGATGGAGCTTTGAAAACGAGAAATCCATGGGTTTGGGGAATCTAAATTACTTTGTTCTTGAAAGAATAAAGACCATTATAAGAACTAAAAGAATTTTGACATTGAAATGTTTCATGTAGCAGAGACAGTTTTACTTGGTGTCAAACTGTATCTAAAATCGAATAGAATATAAAAATACATATTCCAGAATTGCTGGTTCTTGCAAAGAGAGGAAAAAAGGTCGGGAAATTTTTTATATTGTTCAGAAAAAAGCGTTACGAAAATTGGGAAATTCTTCAGACAATTGAAATTTTTCAGTGTGTTTAATTGTGAAAATTCTTCCTCGCAAGATGTTGTTGCGTTGTGCATATGGTTTTTCTGCCAAACCCTTTTTCGAAGTTTCTTTACACATTACAGCAATGAAAAATTTGCAACTTCACAACACAATTCCCCCTTTACTTAAAAAACTGTATACCAACCAGGCTTCTAAAAGTGAGACCCCGAGATGCGGATGTACTTGGTGTATTAAGAGCGTCCCTAAGTTGAAATGTCTGTAAGTCAAGTCTCATTTTCCCTTAGACTTACATCATATTATCTTTTAATTGGTGTTCTATGTACAAAATACTTACCATAATTCCATGAAAATAAAAATTGTCTCTCAATTTAAACTGATTCAATCAATATATTTTAACGCAATATGGACATTTCATAAATTTAATACTGATCCTGTACCTCTGTACAGTACATTTAAATGTTTGCATTCTCTGTAAAAATAACATTCAAATGAAAAAGAGCAAAGGAAGTTACTTTATGCTGGAGGTAATTTTTTTAAATCAGCTAAATGGATGGTAAATTGGTGAGAGAAATACCCAAGAACTTTTCTTGCATCAATTTTAGGGTTACAAATATCTGTTTATTGTAATTTGGCCTGAAATGTATTTGCAATTTTATCACAAAATGTCCCTATGTCAAGTCGGTGTCCTCATGTTGGGCCTTTTTTATTAATTTTTTAAGGGAAAATAAGTGTCCCTATGTTGAATTGTCCACAGGTCGAGGTGTCCACATGTGGGGGTCTCACTATACATACATATACACAAGGGATGAAACGCGTGTGAATCTAATGAAACTTCTGATTCGACCGCTCTCGGATATACAGTATTCCTTCGATGATCAAAC